TTATGACTTTATTCTCGTAATTTCCCCAAAAAATAAAATATTTTTTTCTCTTAGTCTGGCCCTAATACTCCGTCGTATACACGAGACAGACAATCTGTGAAAATATGTAATGGCAGAAAAATATAATCTATCTACTATAGTGACCAAAATATGCAGCCCCGATGGATTCTTGCAAATTCCATTAGAAACATTAGGAGGAGCCAGAGGAACCAAATTTTTTCCTGAAAGTATATGGATCAAACTACAGATGATTTCCTTGATTAACCTGTTAATCAACTGCCTATAAAATGTCATCATATTATCATAATTGAAAGAAACTTGATCTGACATCAAAACAAGCAACAAAAAAAAAAAGGCAATGTGAACCTGGTCTCCGGTATCAAAGTCCTGTACTCTGTATGCTTGTGAACATAATCCATGACTGCTGGCTTTGTCTATGGCTTTCTCACCACAATATAATTGAAAAAACAAACAAGAAAATTATAAACATAGCAAATAAACAGCCAAAATCTCCCTGTATTGGCTGTCTAAATCTGATATGAAAGAGACTTTGTGAGAAAGTTAGTGCTATATACCTCTATTCTGCTTCACTTGTATATGCTTTTCCTGCCGGGACCTTCTCATACAACACTAACCCTTCCTCCCCTTTAATCAAGTCTGTCTCTGCATTCTAATCAATGAATTAAACCAGAATGAAAGTGCCACTTCTCATTACAATCATGCAGGGCCCACAGGGGTAGGAGTGCTAAAGAAACAGCCTCCCACATTATTTCATGCTTAGCAACCCGTAAAAAAATGAAATAACATTGGATAAATCTAAATAAATCCCCTTATTTTGCCTTCATAATACCATTAGATGAAATAAATACATCAAAAACACAAATCATATTAGTGGCCATCAATCTTCTAGAGTCTTCTCTCCTCTTCTCTAATCAGCCAATGACCGCTGCTGGTGAGCAGTAGGAAATGCAACCACACTGTTAGAGCTAATTTTTTTACACCTTGTATGGTGTGCTGTGCACTGCCTTCCATCATTAAATCATGGACAATAAACAGAGGGAATGTAAATGTTGTGAAATACCATCAGGATTTATAGGACAAAAAGAGAATTTCTGGGGGCATTGGTAAAGAATCCTAAAAGCTCTCTGTACAATGGCACTGTAAGATTTTTATACTCTACAGGAGACTTATTGCACACTTTGTGGTATGTTGGGTTCACAAGAATTAGCTGAAAAGCAATTAAAATGTTTAAAATGCACAGAAAACAATATTCATATCCAGATATATATATTTCGCACATGAGGCTTGAAAAAGTGAAAGTTTCAGTAAATATGACAAAAAGTTATTTTTATAAAAATAGCAACTGCAGCTTTAAGTAAAAGTACTAATATCACACTATATATGTATATATATAATATGACTGAATATGAAGCTACTGCTAGTCTCCATTTGTTCGGTTCTCTGGGAATCCTCATTTTCCATCCTTCCTCAAAACAAAAAACACAAAAAGAAATCTGGAGTTGAAGGAGGAGAGAAGGTTTAAGGAAACAAAAGATATGCAGGAGGAGAGGAGGGCAAGTTCAATCTGACATCATAAATTACCAGCAGCTCTTTATCCCCTTCATCAATTTTTCAGATGAGTCGGTGGATCGATGCGGCCGGCTCTCCTTCGCTCTATTAATTTCGACGTGATGCCTTCAGTTGTCCTCCTTTTGCAGAGAAACACTGAGCCTGATACCACGGTGTAGAAATACTCTATTACCAGTTAAAGACATCTATTCATAATGTCGCAAAAGTATGAGAAGCCAAAAGAACCAAAAGTAAAAGCAGAATGAACCATTCCAGAATAATATACATGATATTATTGCATTATAATTATTGATGAATTAATGTGTTCAGCACTTTAATTTTGCAGCTGGTAAATGTGGAGCTCATTTTAATGATTTTATATACTGCTGAGTCGTCTAATCAGTGTTTTTCAAAGAAAATCTGAGGGAAGATGCTTATTTTTTTCTAAACAGAATTTAATTACTGATCCCCGGACGTTCATCAATCTGCAATGTAACTAAAACTGTCAAAATAAAGTTGAGTAGAAGTATAAAATGGCATAAAATGGAAACACTCAAGTAAATCACCTCAAAATTGTACTTTCCATCAGTGGAGGCTTCACATTAGAAAATAAAGACCAGACAGATTCTGTGTCTGATTCTGTTTTTATTGTCTTCATTGTCTCAGTGTGTGAGAGCAGCTCTCAGGCAGCAGCCGTACACATATCTGTGGATACTGAATGAAAGCCATAATACCCACAATAACAACAGATTATACCCTGTGATAAACAATAACACGCACACACCCCAGACGCTGCTCTTTGTTGGGATTACGGTCACACCCATACCTGGAAGCATCGCTGCCAACACGATAATCCCGGTATCCTCTGAGGGATTATCGCTCTGTTGAGTTTGAACCAAAAACCAACCTTCACTGAGCTGGAAGAGGGCCGAACAGCCGCGGGAGGCCAGATGGATCCTGATGGAGGCAACGGAATGTATGAAAACAAAAAAAATCATCACAGAACCACAGGGGTCCGTTAATGGACTTGGATGAATGTAATGGGTCTAAATGACCGTTAATAACCTTTCAAATCTGCACAAAAAGCATAAAAACCCCTTAATTACTCACCTCCATCAACAAATGAATAAATAAATAATAACCCAGGAACAAATCTTTTAAAAACATCTGATACTAACTCTTAACTTTTGAGTTCATCACTGTTGCAGGAGCAGAGGAAGGATTTCTGGTCCAATTCTAGCTGCTTCCGAGGTTACACAAAGAAGAGAAAATGTCTAAAAAAGACCAAATGTTCAGCAGAGTATAATGAATGATCAATGTCGGAAACGATGAGTAGTGATTAATACAAAACATCCACATTGATTACAATAAAACATTTACCAAATAAATGAAGAACAATGAGCCCGACGAATATCAACAATACAAACAATATTAAGATTGATCTTCATATCTTCCAGGAAACTTCCAGAACGGGATCGCAGAGGGGGAGGTGGACCCCACATTCGGGCCCCTGGAGGCCATGCGTCTCTCAGTGATGACGGACTCGCCGGTCTGGGTGATCCTCAGCGAGGTGAGACCGCCTGGACCGGTGACTGGAACCAGATTAAAACCAACTCAAGACATTTATCCAAAGTTACTTCCTGAACTTTGAAGAAAATTGTCCTTGAGGAGGTTTCTGATGCCACAGGGGGGGTTCAAGATTCCTGATTTTAGTAAACGGGTGTACCTGGTGATCTTAAAGCGGCTCAAAGGGTTGGAAGGATTGGAAGGAGGGAGTGTTTGTTTACATCCCATCAAAGGTTGCATACATTTTAAAGAGTTTTTTTAAGTTCTTGAATGGGTTCCAAGAATCCTGGAGAGTGTTCTGTGTGTCATTCAGGTCCCAGTGATGGTTCAAGGCGTCCTTGAAGAGGTTCAAAGGGTTGTAAGGATTGTTCTAAGCCCTCAAAGAACCTTACATGAGTCTGTGTTTGGCTGAGTTTGAGGGATGCCTGCGAGGGTTGCACAAGTTTCAGGGAGGTTGAAAGAGTCTTTGATGAGGTTCCAAGAATCCTGGAGAGAGTTCAGTGTGTCCTCCAGGTCCCGGTGATGTTACGATGGTTCAAGAGGTCCTTGAAGAGGTTCCAGTTGTCTCAGGCATCCTGGCCTTCTAGAAAATCAGAGGGTTTTAGGAAGATTCCAGGAGGGCTTGAAAGTTCAGAGGTCATTGCAGGATGATGTTCAGTGGGATTCCAGGCATCCTTGAGGGGGTTTCTAGATGGAACTTGAAGAAGATGTTTCCCAGGGTCTCGGACAAGGTTTTAGGGGTCCTTGAGGAGGTGGAAATAGTTCCAGGGGATGTAAGGATGTAAGATTTAAGAGACCATTGAAGGGTTTCCAGGAATCTCTCGACTAATGGGAAGAAGCACTCTGAAGAACTGTATCAATATGAACATACAATAAGTGACATGTATCAATCAATCGATTAGAGTCTTGTCATTGTAATCATTTTCACAAACATCCCTTAGATAAATGGATCACCAGCCAGCGTTCCTAAGATTGCGACCAGGAAGATGAATGTTTACAGCGGGTGGTTCCTCCAAACAGTCAAACAACAAAAAATTTGTTTTGATTTAAGCCCCAAAAATAGGATTGTTGTTAAAGGATTAACTTCAAACTGTGGCATGCAAATGTTTTAGCGTGAACTCCTGACTCTTGACCTCTTGACCTCTCTTTGAGGGTTGCTCCATGCTAACCCTTTAAAGAATGCATTCATCTGGGTTTATTGAAGACTTGTAGCTCCTCGTGATGTAGAACTGCAGTTTGAGAGGCTTTTATAATCCCGACATTAACACTATACTCGCCATTAATTAATTTAACACCAAACACTTCCCCGCCACTGTTACAAAAAGAACGAATGAAGTTAGAATGAATAGCGGCTCAGTTTGTTGTATTCACTGTTTACATATTTATTGAACATAATGTTCTGTGGCTTAGTGAATATGATAAAAAATGCTTTGAAACTTGAAGATAATAACATGTTGACAACATGTCTTATAATTTTGAGCAGCTTGGCCTTCCATAGTTGGGTATTTTTGTGTGTACACCTTTCAGTCCAGTTGGTGTTAAACTTTAATCCAAAAATATCTGGATCATAACAACTTTTAAATATCAGTATCACTCTAACAGACTAACAGTCTACACTGGGTCATTTACCTGAATCCAACTCTTACTGGTTCCTCTGGTTTGTCTGGTCTCTCTCAGATTTTCATAAAGAAAGCAGACTGAAGCTCCTCTCCCCCCTCAGCGATACCTCAGCACCTCCGAGCGTTCAGCTGAGCTGACCGGAGGCTCATCAGCTGCCGTCCTGCTCACCAGATCCCCACCGCGGTGCCACAGCACCGCCATCTGGCCGGACTTCGCCACTGCAGGGCTGATTGGATCAGAGACTGAAAACACAGATCACACAGCTGATGATAACAGCGTCTGCCACGACATGCAAAAAGAGAAATGATGCTGTAATTAACCTGAAGAGTCTGTATTTATGTGTACATACAGTTAGTAAATGTTAAACACTGGTGATTGTGGAGGCGGCAGCGAGAGCGCCGCTCCACTTCTGATGCTGAAACTGCTGCTTCAAAAGACTCAAAGGCTTCTTTCTATGAGCAGATGGTCGGTCCAGACCTTTCTACCAACCCTTTCCCACCAGTATACCCCTTCAGTACCCCCTCAGTACCCCTGTATGTGCGTATATGCATAGAGATGTACACACTATCATATGAATGCCCTCAGTGTGTCGATATGTGTCTGTCGTTGCTGCTCGGGTTTTACACCTTCTCCCTCCATCAGTGAGCGATTTGCCTTAACGAAGAGCAGAACAGAAACGAGCCCCAGACTGAAACATGTAGCCACAACAAATACCTAGAATCCTCTGCTGCGACCTCGGACCTTCTCACATCTTTGTGGCTTGAAACTACTGACGATGACAGCTGATCCTTTTCTTTTTTATGAATCTTTAAAAGTTGTTTTATTTTAAGTTTACTGAGGCCTTGTCACTGACTGCTCTGTTCTACTGCACAGTACTTCATAGTGCTTTACAGTACTCTAAAGTACTCTAGAGTACTCAAATCTACTGCACAGTACTCTATAAAGTACTCTAAGGTACTTTCCAGTACTCTGATGTACTCTACAGTACTCTGATGTATTTTATAGTACTCTTACGTACTCTAATGTACTTTACAGTTCTATACAGTAGTAGTAGTTTCCTCTGCTGTGCTCTGTAGTACTTTACTGTACTTTATTGTACTTGTAGTCCAGTGCAGAAATACAGATTCAGATCTTTTCTTGTCTTTCTTTCCGTTTTCAGTCTCTAATAAATAGTTAAATTATAAAATTCTCCAATAGTTTAATTGTATTTTTCCGTAAACACGCTGTCTTTTCCCACTTTCAGTCAGACTCACATTGGCTCAGACGACACAAATGTTCCCTTAAATGAATCATTTGTGCAACTTTTCAGACCTTTTTTGTTCCCTTAAATTTGATATTTGGTGCCTCCGCTGATCGTCTTCGCTCCCTGAGCACCGGATGGATTTATTTCAGTTTGATTATAACACTGAATGGTTTGAAGTGTACTGCAGTGAACTTCCACACAGGGATCTTTTAGACATCGATGTTCTTCCAGATTTGTGTCTCTTTCAACACAACAAAGCCTCCATAAAGAAACCGTTTCCCAGTTCGGTGCCGAAGAACTTGAACCCATCCAACCCCTCTGTGAGTCGGACCTGATCACCAGCATCAGTGCTGGACCTCTTTAGTGGATGTTCCCTGCAGCTGGTTCACATCTGGTGACTGAAAGCAGCTTGTTAATGAAAATGATGGTTATACGGAGGAAGATCAGCTGTCCACATACTTCTGGCGTTTACTACACGTTACTTATGTAATGTTAACCTTAAAAAACATTTATTATATTTTCCAGTTACATTAAGTGTGTTTATATTAGCACAGGTATCCTGGATCAGGTTTTTGGAGTTACGTGTTGAGCGTGTAAACATCCTGGTTTCAGAGACCTGGATAAGATCTTATAAAGACCTGATCCAGGTTTCATTCTTTGAGGTTCAGAACAGGTGATGAGAAACCTGCGTACTGTTAAGATCTTGTAAACACGGAAATAATTATCCATGTAAACATCATATCCAGGAGTTAGCTTGTGAGTTAGCATTAGTTAGCTAGATGCTAATAAGTTAGCTAAAGCTACATTTCAAGAGTAACACGCCAACACTGACAGTTTATGTGTTTAATGATGTTCCGACTGGCTGGAAATTATAAAGATAGGGAAATAAGATTTTGATATGTTATATATATTATTAAAAATTATATTTTATTATAACACACACTGTAAGCTGGTTTGGTTGTGAAGCTTTAAGTTGCCGATAAACCTGATAAAATGTTGTTAGTATAATAAAATATTTTCTCAGCAGTGAGTGAGACCGTGTGCAGGAATCTCTGATGGCACTGTACAGTCGCTGTAGTACTCGAGTCTCCAGACATTCATTGTCTCGAACTGGTCGGTCATGTTGTTGTTTTTTCTGAAGTAACTTCCTCCTTCAAAATAAAACTATTAGTGAAGAGCACTTGTTCAGAAAACCAGGTGTTAATACATTTAAATTCTTAAAATCTCATTGTCAATGTCAACAGCATTCTAGTCCTAGTCTTGGACCTCTTTGTTCGACTCATCTGTCACACATTATTTTCTATAAAACCAAATTTAACCCACAAATTGAGTCACACCAACAAACCCAGTTCTCTATTGTTAAATAGCACCAATTATTGATTTAAGGGAACAGAACCAGTCATTTAAAGGGGCAAACATTCCCTCCAACACCTCCCAGACTGTAATTATTATTTATCTCACCCTTTCTGTCACACGTGGATTCACTCACAGACCCAACAGAACCTCTCAGATCTGAGCTGAGCGCCTCCGAGCTTCAGGAAACGTCCCGCCTCTTCTTTTCTGTTCTTTGTAAGATGCACTGGAATGCATTGCTATACTCTTGTGTTTGTCTTTTGTACCCTTTAGATAAACTCTATTTAAATGATCTTTAACTTCTACCCAATCTGTGAATTGTAATAAAGACAGACATTTAAATGATTTTCCTTTTTCTTTTAATGGAGGTTTGTTCGCTGCGCTGGCTCGAGTGGATTTCATAATAATTATTTTTAGATGTTTGGGGAGGTGGGCTGATTTCTGGGGATGTCATCAGGTTTCATCAAAGAGAAAGTGACGAAACAGCAACATCACTGAACTGAGGACGGACTGATTCAGTTCAGTTTCATGAGTGAAAAAAAGGTGGTTTTCACAATAAAAGCCCAGTCTTCAGCTTCAATTGTTGCCAAATTAAGAGTTTAAGATGGAATATTAATCTTAGAAAATAAAAGCAGTCTGTTGTTCTGCTCAGGTGACGTCACATGGATGAAGATCACATGATTCTCACAGCTCTGCACTGTGAGAGGATTAAAGGAGTAATTTAAATATGCTTAATGTCTGTCTTGTCATTACAAACAGTGGTGGAAGAAGTACTGAGATCTTTAAATGAAACAGTACAACAATGTAAAAATACTCAGAAAATCATCTATTCTAAATCCTGCTGAAGTAAAAGTACAAAAGTATTATCAGCAACTGTTTTAAGTCAAACTTAGACTCTAGTATGTAAGAAAAGAATAAAAGGTGTTTTTAAAATATAACACAAGGAAAAAAAATTGAAAACACAGATTTTTCTGTTTTTTAAACTCAAAGATTAAAGTTTTTCTAAAGAAGTAAATCAAGACTCAACCATATATATTATATCCAAACAAACAGTCAGAAACTACATTTACAATATCTACACAGACAGTGTAGTGCACTGACTCTGTGTGGCATTATTAGATTGTTAATAAATAATCAATGTTTGGGCGCCCGGTTAGCTCACTTGTTAGAGCTGGCGACCATGGACCGAGTCCTGCAGCGGCCCAGGGTTAGAATCCGACCTGTGGCCCTTTGCTGTCTATCTCCAGCTGTGACTATCAATTAAAGGCAGTAAAAGGCCAAAATAACAATAATAATAATAATAATAATAATAATAATCAATGTTTGAGCAGCAAATTACTGTTTGAACTACAGTTAGCTAGTTTAGTCCACTGGGTCCCAACATAGGGGTTGGGGTCCTCCAGAGGGTCTACAGGGACACAACTACACTGATCTGTTGAAAAAAACTAACTAGTAACTTCTCAGGTTGTGTTTGAGTAAATGAGAGCACAGCTGAGTCAGTTAGCTTAGCTTAGCACAAAGACTGGAAACAGCTAGCGTGGCTCTGTCCATACACTGTAACATACACTGATGAACACATTATATCTGCTTCTGATAGAGTCTGTGGTTTTAGGTGAGCTGAATTTGCTCTTCTGGTTCTTCTGGTTTCATTCAGGATGGCAAACTCGTTTCCTCCAGTTTTCAGTTGTAATCAAGGATGCGTCATCAACAGAGGGCGTCGCACAAAGCTCAACGACCCCTTCGCTTCCACTTCAGTGAAGAACTGCTATTGTTTGGTTCCAGCTGCACAACCTTTCAGCTTCTGAACCAATTTATTTCTGGTTGAAATGCTCCGAACGGTTCAGAATAAAGGGAATGAACTGGAACTGGATGAAAAGACCTGCAGGTTTGGGGCCATCACGACTGCGTTACACTGTTATTATTATTTATACATTTATTTATATTTCCAACACGCGACTCCACAGAAAAACTCCACAAACAGAAGTCTGTGTGCAGATTAAACCAACAAGATACAACCTGTTAATTAGGAGCTTTACTGGTGTTAATGTACAAACACGAATGAGAGAGAGCGAATAAAAAACCTTTATTACACTTTATTGGAAGTATTATATTAAATAATATAAATAATCATAAAACACTCAGATCATCTTCTGCTTTACATACTGAAACATCAGTTCCCTCACTTTGAAACAACAGGATGACCCCGCTGTTGTTTTCTCGATAATAACTTAAAAAGTTTCATCATTAATCTAATTAACCTAAGTACTAATACTGTAAAAAAATAAGATAAACTTAATTACAAGTCCTGCATTGATTATTATTCTGACTCAGGCATTAATGTAAAAGCAGGATTTTACTGTTGGAGTTGGCTGAAACTAATGATCATCTTCATTATGGATCCATCTGCTGATTATTTTCTCTGTTAATCTATTGATTGTTTGCTTTGTAAAAAGTAAAATTGTGAGAAATGCTGTCACAATTACCCAGAATCCAACGTGACACCTTCAAAATCAATGGACCAAAGCTCAAAACGATTCAGTTTTCTGCAATTTAAGACAAGAAAAAACATCAAATCCTCCATTTCTAGAAGCTGGATATAATATTCAAACTGTGCTTTTATTGATCTTCTGTGCATTTATTTCCATTAAGGCTCCATTTACAATTGCACTTCATCCTATTTATGATTTTGTTTTTGGTATGTTTTGCAAATAAACTCTGAGCAGCTACAAATAAAGACAGGATTCAGATATATAATAAAGAATGTATAATTTCCCTCAGAGATGTAAAGAATGATGAAGAGCTAGTGCTTTAGATCTGTACATTTATCCCCTTTCTTTAAAATAATACAGATCAAATTCACAACACAAAGAAGTGAGATAAGACATGTATTAATAAAAATGAATTATTTGTTATAATACTTTATAAATAACGCCTTATATCCTGATTACGTCATTTTCTCTCCGTCTTATTATAAAATCAGTTTCAATCTGAGCAGGCGAGCCTCACCACGCCCAATCAGCGCCCACTTCCTGTGACAGCTCGACCAATCAGCGCTGTCCACGAGGTTCAGCTCCGCGGGGGCGGGCACTGTCCCGCCCTCCTTCAGCCAATCAGCTGCTGACAGTTGACAGGAAACGTCAAAGCGTCGCTGTCGTCGACCAATCAGCGGCGGCGGAAGGAGGCCCGTGCCCTCGGATATCCCACGTGACCGTCCTCCGCGGTTCCAGTCACTTCAGCGAGCTGCAGGTGAGTCAAACTCCCGGTAAAGTCCGGTTAAAGTGCCTCATTACAGCGCCGCAGGGCGCCGGTACCGACAGGCTGCAGTTCTCCCGCACTGTCTGCGCAGTGAGTAATAACGTAGTGAGCGCTTTTATCCGTTAAATGAAGCAGCTGAACCTAACGGAGGCTCGTTAGGTTCAGCTGCTTCAGCGAGCTGTTAGCTTCCTGCGTTAGCCTCTGCTGCTCTTTAATTCACTCATAAACATAAACACTGCTGCTCCTGCTGCTCCTGCTGCTCCTGCTGCTCCTGCTGCTCCTCAGGGAACACCGCTGCGTGTGGGATTAAACTCTGTGAGAACAAAGATTAAACAGTTTAAACAGCGGCGCGCTGAAGCTAAGCTAAGCTAAGCTAAGCTAAGCTGTCTGTGTTCCTGTGATGAAGAAGAGCTCAATAACCTCTGATGAAGAAGAGCTCAAGGTAACCTGATGAAGAAGAGTCTGATAACCTGATGAAGAAGACGTGTTTAATAACCTTATGAGAGAAGAGCAGTGTAACTCTGATGAAGAGAGAGCAGTGAAACCTGATGGAAGAAGGAGTTTAAGTAACCTGATGAAGACAGAGCAGTTAATTGATGAGAAGGGCCAGTGTAAATCTGGATGGAAGAAGAGCAGGTGTAACCTGGATGAAGGAAGAGTTTAATAATCTTGGATGGAGAAGGATGCAGTGCGTAACCTGATGATAGAGGAGTTTCTAATAATCTGAGTTTGAAGAAGAGCAGTGTAATCTGATGAAGAAGAGCAGTGTAATCTGATGAAGAAGAGTCAGTGTAACCTGAATGAAGAAGAGCGAGTGAACCTGATGAAGAAGAGCAGTGTAATCTGATGGAAGAAGGGATGTTCTAATAACCTGTGATGAGAAGGGTTTAATAATGCTGATGATAGACGAGGCAGTGTAAGTTGATGAAGGAGTTTAATAACCTGATGGAAGAAGCAGCAAGGGTAATCTGATGAAAGGAAGAGCGAGTGCAGTGAACAGTTGTGATTAAAAGCTGAATTGAAACAAAGAGTCCGGAGCAGTTCTCGGATCCATCGGTGTCAGAATCACTGATCAATCAGGATGATCAATCACTGATCAATCGTCTCTGATCAATCCTTTACCTTCCATTCAGATTACTGATCAGTAATGGATTGCTGGTTGTTCTGATGTACTCCTTCCTTTAAAAGAAGGTTTCACGTCTAACCGTTATAAAGCCAGTAAGACGTTTGACACTTGGATGACTTATTAGAAAACCTGTCCACTCAGATCATGGTATCAATCGAGTGAATCAATCAATTCACTCAGAAACATCATCACAGAGCCGTGTGTTTTATGACATTAATGAACCGCACAGAAAGAGAGCTGGTGTCAATAAACTGTTAATGGTGATTCAGGTTTATTGATTATGATTGTTTGAGCTCTGAAATGATTTCCTCCCTTGCAGCCTGGGTTTTAACTAAGTATAGAAGTTCAGTAAATGTTGCTTCACATTAAACCTCAGGAGCGTGCGGTCAGGTTTCATCAGTTTCCATCAGTTTCAGTCAGTTTCAGTTATGGTTTGCATCGTT